GTGCTGCTAGCTCTACGAAGCATTGGTCACGGCTTCCAAATCCCAACTTTTAGAGGAAAACATGAAATTCAAAATATTTTTACATATTAATATGGGTAGTCACATGCACAGTATATGGCTAGTGCTAAATTTCACTGACGTTTGATTTTTGCTGAGATTTTCAAGCAGAAGATAAAATCTTACAGTTCACATAGTATCAGATGAAACACCTATTAGACTTTCTTCACCTTGACCACATTTCAATACGAATAATGTCTCATGGACATTTTCTTTCCCATTTACAGTCACGCAGACTGTATCCTATTTGTAGTCACCAAATATCCTCTATATTTGTTGCTGTCACTTAGAACGTTTTTGCAGCTTGCAAGTTAGCACCATGTCAACAGGCGGCTCTCCACTGGCACCCAGACCACATAGTACAAGCACTACGAAATCCATCTCCCAGCAACATATGATCTCCCCAGAGGCTACATTGGCTGTTGAATATTTCATTTAATCTCCACCAGGAGGCAGAGTCAACTTACAAGAGCAAACAGCCTCTTCGGCCTTGGCGAAGGTGAAGTCTTGTCAACATCCGACTACTGGGGAAACTGAGGCACGGAGCAGGCGCGTGACCTCCCTGAATTCCCACAGCGAGACAGTGGCAGAGCTGGGAGAAGCCTGACCTTCCAGCCCTGAGCTTTAGTCACAAGACAGGCTGGGCCTCTTGGTGTGATTTGTTACCACATCGCTGACCTCCCCTGCCCTATCGAACACGTTTCTGAATTTCAAATTACGGGGTTGTTTTGGTTTTACTCAGCACAAGAGGCACAGCCCAGGGCAGCAGGCGACAGACAGAGCTAAATCTCGGGCTCAGCAACCAACGCGATTGTAAAACCCATGGAGCAGACATGGGGCTCTCCCAAGAGCTGCAGCCTGCATCTCCAGGTAGCACTGGCTGCAGTCATGCGACAGTCCATGGCGGTTGGTACCTTGTACTCCAGCTGGCCCGTGGGCTGCAGGTTCTGCATAGGCAGCATGTTGTGCATGAAGCTCATGTTTGGCATCACTTGCAGGAACGGAGCCTGGGGAGTGACACGAGGGTAGCCTGGCAGGAGCTTCTGGAGATCTTCCATCACCTCCGTGCTGCACAATCACATTGGGACACAGGGCTTAGAAACAGGCCAAGCAAACCAACCGACACGCTTGCTGCAGCTAGCCCTGCGTCTCCCGGGCTTCACAGAGCACAAGTGCTTCAACATCTTCCAGGCTGTCATCCGCCCTGTGGGGGCAGAACTGGATTGGCCAGCCCCGCCATCCATGCCAAACCCAACTGCACTTGAGATCACTCACGACACCTCCTCTCTAGACACCGACACATTACAAGTAAGGGGGTGCCCAGGCCGAGGAGCCTGGAAAAGCTCTCTGGCCCACGCTGCCGCCAGCCACAAAAACCCAGCAGTGATTCCCTGTGGCTCTACCGGAGAGGCCTGCCACACGAGCCAGCGGGGAAATGGCTGTTCTGGCAAAAAGACATGGATTTCTGCTAGTCAGCTAGCACCCGGCTTGCCTCCCCACCCCCTACCTCGATTGTGCTCTCGAGCAAGAATCCCACCCTGCCAGCCTGTTCACTGCAGAACGTGGGGTGCGGAGAGCAGGCAGGCAAAGAGACTTCACTCCTGCGTACGGAAGGGTGGATTTTTGGCATGTGTTTTTCTATCATTTTAACAGATTCTATAAAACCTCTGACCTCTCACCAGGAAGCAACTCAAAGGCGTGAGAGCTCCTTAGAACATACATGCCCGAGTGCCTCCAAGGGGCCACGGCGAGCCAGAGAATCATCATCCACGGGGTGGAGGGGCGCCCTTAAAAAGGCAGGGGGGTGTCTCTGTTGCCACTCAGGAGAAAGCCGGACACTCACCGGGGGTCAGCAACTCCAACAGTGTGCCGTCTCATCGAGAGATAGCGGACCAGGGCCTCGGGGGATGGCTCTTCCCCTTCATCGCTGTCCAAGTTCATCGTCCCATCGGTCTGAGTGGGGAAAACACAAGAGGTGCTGAAGTCAAGTGCCAGGAGCCCAGCGTGTCCCGAAGAAAGGGCGCGCCCAGGGGCCACCAACGGAAAGCAACTTGCCTCTACAATCTGGTTCTCGGGGTTGATGAGCTGCACTTGCGGCACATTGATACTCACGGGGTTGCCTGCCTGTTCCGCCTGCAAAGCAGAAGGAAACAAAACCATGAGGAACTGAGAGGGGGGGGGGGGGGGGGGGTCCTAAAAAAAAAAAAC